CACTGGAATGAAAGCACATGCTGAGAGAAATTGGAATAGATCCCAATTCAATTATATTGCCAGTGTATAATTAGTGTGCAATAGCATTTTGACACTTGTATAGGTTTGTTACAATGAGATGTATATATATGTAGTTGTGCCGTTCAAAAACACACGAGAAAATACAGAATGAGTCTGGTTTATACTCCATAATTTCTATTCAATTGTGTTCATTTCATTCGTAATATTGGTCTGTCATTTTTTCTTATATGGTATCAGAGCTAGGGAAGGCTGAAAATGAAGGCAACAACATCAACTCTGATACAATTCAAAACCAAATACCACCTCAAAACTCAAACTCAAATCCAAATCCACAAGATCCATCTCTTCCTAGCAGTCCATACTTCATTGGAGCTAATGAAAACTCAGAAGCATTACTTTACTCAAATGCTCGATTCTACTAACTACCACTCTTGGGCAAGGTCCATGAAAAGGCCTCTTCGAATTAAGAACAAACTGAGCTTCATTGATGGGAGCATCTTTAAACCGACTGATGTTGATAGTCCAATGATGGAGCATTGGCTTCGTTCCAATGATATTGTCATCACCTGGATGCAAAACACAATGACAGTGGACATTAAGGCAAGTACTCTGTATGCTGAGATAGCACATCAACTATGGCTGGAATCGGAACAACACCTAGCTCAACAAAATGCTCGTAGAATCTATGAAGTCAAGCAAGGAATTGCAGTACTGATGCAAGGTCAAGATACAGTGAGCACTTATTTTTCGAAGCTGAAAACATTTCTTGACGAGCTGATGAATTATGAATCTATACCCAGTTGCACTTGTGGAGGGTTGAAGACAATGGTTAGCAACCAAGAAAGCGATTGGGTAATGAAGTTTCTCATGGGGCTCAATGATTCTTACAAAATTCTCAAAGCTCAAATTCTACTGATAAAGCCATTTCCCAAATTAAATGAGGTATATTCTATAATTTAGCAAGAAGAAAAGAGAAGGGATATCTTTGTTGATTCACCTACCACTGATGGAATGGCACTGGCGTCAGGAAGTATCCTTAAAGAAGCAGAGAAGAAAAATCTGGGGTCACAAAAGAAATATTTTTGCACATTTTGCAAGATACCTAGCCACTTGTTGGAAAGATATTTTAAATCTAATAAGGACAAACAAATATGTACACATTGTAAAATGCCCGGCCACACTATAAATAATTATTTCAAAATTCATGGATATCCACCAAGCCACAAGCTCTATAGAAGGACACAAGCGAATGCCACTTTCACACATCAGAATACTCTTATAGGGCCTGCACAGGAGCAAATAGGTGACAGAAATCAAGTTAGTTTAACTTGAGCAATATGCTCAACTGATGGCTTTGCTTAAACCACAAACCAGTGAATCTTATACACTTTCTACTAACACATAGATACATCCAAAATTTTTGGTATTTATATGTGTTTATCAGCTTACCACACAAAAGATAAGGCTAGACTTGTTACACCTTGGGTTGTGGATACCAGAGCTACAAATCATATGGTCTGCTCAGTTTCATTTCTCACAACCATCAAGTCCAAAATCTCTCAATTTATTACTCTGCCTAATGGAGATATGACACTAGCTACTCATATAGGAAGTGTTAGAATCACAAAAGACTTGTTTCTCCATAATGTTCTATGTGTCCCATCTTTTTCTTTTAATATTATATCCGCCAAAAAACTTGTTCAAACATCCAAGTGTTGTCTCATATTCTCCTCTAATTTATGTTATGTACAGGACCTTTCAACTTGGAGGACGATTGGTCTGGGTGAGGCGAGGTGAGGCTTATATCATTTGGTGCAAAGAGAAGTCTCTCCTACAAGCTTGATTCAAGATCTACCCAAATTAGTTAACAAAACTGTTCTGTCAACTTTTACCGTTCTCAATCAAGAAGACTTTGATCTGTAGCATTTCAGGTTGGGTCATCTCTCAGATTCTAGATTATGCTTGGCTGATTTACATTATGATCTTAAGACAAAAAAATCAAGAAACCTGTCATATCTGTCCTTTAGCTAAGTTACATAGACTACCTTTCAATATTAGCCATCATAGGTCAGAAATTTGTTTTGATTTAGTCCACTATGATTTTTGGAACCTTGTACTGAATTTGCGTATGATGGATCAAGATATTTTCTCACAATTGTTGATGATCACAACTGATGTACTTGGATTTATTTGTTAAAGCTAAAATATGATGCCTCGGTTGCTTTGCAAAACTTTTATACCGTGATTGAAACACAATTTGATTCCAAAATCAAAGTTATCAGAACTAATAATGGAGGGGAGTTTTATTTAAAACAATTTTATTCTGAAAAGGGCATTATACATCAAACAACATGTGTAGAAACTCCCCAACAAAATGCTATTGTTGAAAGAAAGCATCAACATATTTTAAATGTAGCAAGAGCACTAAAACTTCAGAGTGGGCTGCCTATGTTGTATTGGAATGACTGCATTTTAACAGTAGTCTTTCTAATAAATAGAACACCTACTCCTACTCTTAACAACAAAACACCTTTTGAAGTTCTTTTCAAGGTTAGGCCATGCTGTTCCAATCTTAGGGTGTTTGGTTGCCTTGCTTTTGCTACTACAGTTGCACACAACAGACATAAATTTGATTCAAGGGCAAGGAAATGTGTTTTCTTAGGATATCCATCTGGAACTAAGGGTTAGAAGTCACTGGACTTGGAAACCAACAAAATTTTTATATCAAGAAATGTGGTGTTCCATGAGAACATATTTCCCTACAAAGAGTCCAGTACTAAGGCTGATGAGAATCTGTCAACTCCTATTTATAAGTTGCCAAGTCCTACAGACTTAGCTTACTCTCAACCAAGCAATGTTCACCTAAACTATCCTACTAATTCCAATTTTCAATTACAAGAAAAACTACCACAAAATTCTAGCCAAAGCACAGAATCTTTAGAAACTTATGAACCTCTTGATGAACCTGAGTCATCACTTAATGTCCCAAGTAATTCCGACATGCCTCGAAGATCTGATAGAAGTAGAAGGACACCTGCTTACCTGCAAGACTTTATTTGCCAATAAGCATCCTCACTCACTCATTCTCAAGAGTCCTACAAGCAAAAAGGTAGTATAACTTCCAGTAGTCCATTTCCTTTATGTTCAACACTTTCATATCACAGTATATCCGACAAACAAAAAGCTTTTGTTTCATCTATTCTCACACAACTAGAAACTGCTACCTATCAAGAAGCTGTCAAATACCTTGAATGGTGTGAAGCTATATAGGCTGAAATAGATGCTCTTGAGTTAAACCAGACCTGGACTGTGACAGATTTGCCACATGGAAAGGAACCTATAGGATGTAGATGGGTTTATAAAGTGAAGTTCAATGCTAATGGAATAGTTGAGAGGTATAAAGCAAGGTTGGTGGCAAAAGTATATAGCCAGCTAGAAGGAATCAACTATCATGAGACATTTTCACCTGTAGCAAAATTGGTAACAGTGAGAACATTGCTTGCAGTGGCAGCAGTAAAGGGTTGGTACTTGCACCAATTTGATGTGAACAATGCGTTTTTGCATGGAGGCTTGAAGGAAGTGGTCTATCTGAAGATGCCTCCTGGTTATTGTGCTAATGGGACTTCAAAAGTTTGTAGACTTAATAAACGTTTGTATGGTTTGAGGCAAGCATCTAGACAGTGGTACTCAGAATTATCCATATTTACCATCGATCAGGGCTTTTGTCAATCCAAGGCTGATTATAGTTTATTCACAAGGAGCACATATAACTCTTTTACAGCAATATCAGTTTACGTTGATGACATAATAATAGCTGGGGATGATGTGGAGGATGTCAGTTCTCTTAAAAACTCACTTGATGACAAGTTTAAGATTAAAGATTTGGGAAACTTAAAGTATTTTCTTGGGATAGAAGTGGCTCGAGCAGCAAGGAAAATTCAAATTTGCCAAAGGAAGTATGCATTAAATATTTTGGCCGATTCAACAACCATTGGAGTGATTCCAGCCAAAATTCCACTAGATCAAAATACCAAGCTGTCAAAGATGAATGAGAAGTTCTTTCTGACCCTGCATCATACAGAAGACTGGTAGGAAGATTGCTGTACTTAACAATCACCAGACCTGATATAGCCTATTCAGTATATTTTTTAAGTCAGTATATGTAAACTCCTAGAGTGCCACACCTGAATGTTGCACATAAGGTGCTTGGATATATCACGATCATTGAACTAAGGACTATTGTTTCCTTCATCCTCTGATTTACAAATTAAGGCCTACAGTGATTCAGATTGGGGGCGTGCCCAGATTCTTAAAGATTAATCACAGGTTATTGTGTATTTATTGGTTATTCATTGGTATCCTAGAGATCTAAGAAACAAAACACAGTTTCTAAGTCCTCAGCAGAAGCGGAGTACAGGGTCGTGGCAGCTGTTTGTTGTGAGCTAACATGGCTTAGATATCTTTTTTATGATCTACAAGTATCTCATTCACAACCTGCTGAATTGTTTTGTGATAATCAAGCAGCATTACACATTGCGGCGAATCCAGTATTTCATGAAAGAACGAAATACATTGAGTTAGATTGCCATCTGGTGCGTGACAAAAATTACACATTGCAGGGAATCCAGTGTTTCATGAAAGAACGAAATACATTGAGTTAGATTGCCATCTGATGCGTGACAAAATACAAGAAGGGAGTGTTATTACAAAACATGTTAAGACTGGCTCACAAATTGTAGATATATTCACCAAGTCTCTCTCTTCTGACATTTTCTATTCTCCATCTTGAGGGGGGCTATTGAAATTCAAGATTGTGCTAAATCGTGAGCAAGCAAAATGGAGAAGGATCTAGAAGTTTACAGTCATCAAAATACACTGGAATGAGGGCATGTGCTAAGAGAAATTGGAATAGATCCCAATTCAGTTATATTACTAGTGTATAATTAGTGTGCAATAGCATTTTTTCTTATATCTTCACCCTAGATTTCAGGATCCCTGTGAACCATCAGTGTTGGTAACCTAACTATTGTATTGGCTGGTACAACAATTTCTCCTAATCTCGTTTCTTGTTCTACAAGTCTAGAGAGCTCGACAATTGGAGGATACAACCTCAAAACTTCATTCAAAATCATAGATACTTGGAAATAGAAAAAAAAATCAAATATGATCACAAACCAATAGAGATTGTATACCAGTGGTTTATCTCCCATTCTCTTTTTTGTGAGGATTTAGTTTTGAGCATTGTGTAATTAAAGTAAAAGTTCACTTACAATTTTGAGTTGACTTAACCCTTCATAATTTGGTTCGGAGTCACCATAAACTTGGAAAACTTCTTCTCTCGCACGTTGTTGCCAGTTTTGATGAATGCTTAATAAAACCATGGTCCAAACAAGCATCATTGAAGCAGTGTCATATCCAACAAAGTAAAATAACCTAAGTTGTCCAATGATATCCCCTGTATTCTTTATGCCATGAACTTCTACAAGTTCAGATTCCAACAGCAAATCGAAGAAGCTTTCCCCCGTAGTCTTCCCTGCCTTCATTGCCTCTGCTTTTTCTTCGATCCGCTTCATAGAGATTTCTCGTACTTCCCTCATCATTTATTTAGCCTTGCGGTTTTCATTAGTAGGTAAATACCTATACATATAACAATACGTGAAAATTTATAGCTTTTAAGCAGGTGAAATATATTACGCCATATTAGAAAAAAAGAGTAATAATTAGCTCTATATGAAATCTATTTTTGTCAAGAAAGTGTCATGTTTGTTTGATACGTATTACAATGTATAATAAACAAGATTTTGTTGTAATTCATATTAGATGGCAACAATAATTATCTATGATGGCCAACGAGGGAAGGCTACTCAATAAGTACTCTACGTAAAGTACCACATGCTAAGCCGTTGACTACCATGAGGCCCTCTACATACATCCAGACCTCGAATACTCTAAGGCCTTCTATGTTTATGCTAGTTCGTCTACCACTATGAGGTCCTCTACGTCCGCATTGGAACGTTAACCACTATGAGGCCCTCTACGTTTATGCTAGGTTGTTTACCATTATGAGACCCTCTAACACTATGAGACCCTCTATGTTTATACTAGGTCGCCTACCATTATGAGAGCGTATACCACGATGAGGCCCTCTAAGTCCACACCGGGCCATCGACCACTATGAAGCCCTCTATGTTTGTGCTAGATCGTCTAGCACTATGAGACACTCTACGTTTATGCTAGACTGTCTACCATTATGCGGCCATCTATTACTATGAGGCTCTCCACATCCACATGAGACCCTCGACCACTATGAAGCCCTCTACGTTTATGCTAGACCGTCTACTACTATGAGGCCCTCTAAGTTTGTACCGGGCCTTCTATCATTATGAGACCATCTAACATTATAAGGCCTTCTACGTCCACATTGAGCCATCAACCACTATGAGGCCTCTACATTTATGCTAGACCATCTATCGTCACAAAGCTGTCTACTACTATAAGGCCTTTTACAATATTTAACCATAAAAATATCATTGAAATGGATGGGAACCGCTCAGCGGTTATTATGGACACAACCAACTGCTGGATAGGTGGAGGTCTCTACTCAAAATGTTGGGTAGCGAAGAATACTACGTGGGACACGTGGCACAATAACCACCCAGCAGTTATATGGCTTTAGACTCCTATAAATACTCTTAAGGGGAGACAGGTATGGGCTCTTGAAATTTTGGCTATCTGAATACTCATTATATATTTTATTTCGAAGTCTACATTCTGAAATCTCATATTAATTCTTACGCCAGAGGTACAATGGGAGAGAAAGCCCTAACCTCATGTTACAGGTAACATTTGCTCATCGAGTAACAGAAATACTTTGTGCTGCCAGGAGGGAACGAATGTTCTTTTTCATAACTATTTCAATTCTATTGTTCAAAATAAAAACGGATGAAGAGAGAAAGGTTGAGCCATAAAAATTGCTTATGCGACCGCATAAACCTTTAAGTCTTGCGGCGGAATTTCAAAGAAATTGGAGGCAACCAATGTTGTAACTATGCGACCGCATAGTTATAGCCTATGTTGTCGCATAGTTTTAAAAAGTGATCGTTGGTCGGAATTTTTTAGAATTTTTGGTAGTTTTCTTGGTGGAACATTGTATCTCTTCACTTGAGTTGAAACCACTTTGTGTTGAGATGGTAGAATACTATAAATACATGGTGTCTTCATCCCTAAAACATATGAAAAACTATTTTTTTTCCCATTATTCATCCAAAGCAAAAGAAATTATCACATATTCAAAGCCTTTATTCTGAAGATCACTTTTTGCTTTTGGTGTTCTTCTTTAGGCTTGATCAATCCAGCAATTATTTGCCATTTTAATCATTAAAAGTAAGGTGAGAGAGGGCAAATATTGTTTGAGGACAACGATATAATTTTCGTGTTCAAGTGTTGTTCGATTTTACATATATCTTCGAGTCATCTTCTACTATTTTCTCTCCATTGTTGTATTTTTCAATAATAATCTCAACCGATATTTGCCTTTACTGGGATGGAGACGGAATCTACACTCGCTACAATCAAAATGATAAATCAAAACTAAATATGTTTGGACGGATTTGATGGTGCCAACTTAATGAGATGGCAAGACAAACTTAAATTCCTTCTGACGACGTTAAAGATCTTCTCGTGCTTTATCTACAATTGGAGCCAATTCTCAATGCAACAACAAGGACACTTATGAGGTTCATGCAAAAAGAAAGAAATGGGAAGAGGACAAATTAATATGTCGTGGCCGCATTCTAAATGTGCCATCGGATTGATTATACGATTTCTACACCAACACCACTTCAATAAAAGAAATCTGGGTACGAAGAAGTTTTTAGTTTTTAAATATTTTGATTTCAAGTTTCTGAATAATATTCCCTTATTACCTTAAGTTTATGAGTTGCAAATAATTGTCAACAAATTGAAATCGGTGAAGATCGATCTTCCTGAAATCTTTTAAGTAGGAGCAATCATTGCTTAACCCCCGAAATTTTTGAAAGGATATAGGAAGAATGTTCTTTACAGTTCAGATATACAAAAACATATTCGCATAGAGGAAGAATCAAGGGCAACAGATAAGACTAAAAGATCTTATGATGGCTCTTCGAAAGGCAATGTCGTGGATAATGTGAACAACCCCACTCTTCGGATGTTTATGGATGATTATATTTATGAAAGCATGAGTAATCTTTTCCAACAAATGAGTGTCATCGCAGCAAGCATTGTGATCTTGAATTCATATCTTCATATGTTCAGCAAAATCATTTAATGACACACTTTTTAACATCTATGAATTTTTTTAGTTGCAATTTTCATTAAAGGAAAGTGAATTGAACAATAGTTCTAGAATTCCAATAGGATATTATAGTAATTTTGGTTATTAAATGGGTCCAGTAGTATAAGATGAAATATTATACATATGTGAGGTATATACGAATTTTTTGGATTAAGTTGTTTGAAGGGAAATATGCCATTTCCATTCTGTTTTTTGCAAAAGGTAACACAACTAATCTTCAATGTTTTGAAAATCGACCCGATCATCAACTTAAAAAATGTGAAGGGTCAAAAGTTAAAAGGTTCAATCGCGATTGAACTGGATACAGTAAATACATACAAAAATAATAAAATACTATGAAAACAATAAATTTTTTAAAAATTTTCATATTAATAATTTGTTAATTAGATTCATTATTCTATTATTTGTTAAAATTTTTGTTATGCCACGATCTCACATTGAAAGTTTAAGCAACTATTGAAGAGAAGTGCATCTATAAAATGCACTATCCCACATTAAAAGTTTATGAAACCATTTGAAAGAAGTACATCTATAAAAGGAGTATGTTATCTAATATTTCTCAATGGGCCTTTGAATTGTTGTTTATGAGGCCCATTCATGAAGTTGAAATTTCTTAAACTAATAAAAAAATTTGGGAAAACCACCAAACCACGATTGGTTCATCGGTTTACGGTTGAACAGGCCAATTCGATGAATTTTTAAGTGGTTTAGTTATAAGTGGTTAACCGTGCATGATTGGCCTAATTTCCGATTAAACTGGCTGGGTCGGCCGATTTTGATAACATTTCTAATCTTCCCTCAATATTTTTTAAGCATAAGTCATTACTAACCTTTTAATTATGTAGCAAAACTTGCCATTGCTTCTATTTCGATCATTGAATCACAAATTTTGTTTGCCTGTTGAAATAAACGAAAATAAAACACGCGCGCGCACAAAGAGAGAGTGTGTGTGTCTAGAAAAAATAAATGTTTCATCTTTGTCACCCCACCCATATCTTAATCCACCCTAACCCACCCCAAGGGGTACTTTTAAGTTTGACCCAGTCAAAGAACCTAAATTCCACTTTGACTTCCAAAATCATGAATATTATGACATTGGCATCTTGTATGGTAAAAGACAAAGATGCCCTTAAATGTTTTGTACAATTACAAAACAATATATTGTTGAAAGGACTATACTACTTTTTTAGTTAATAATTGAAAATCAAACACTTCCCCATTTATAAAAGCTTCAAAACGAGCTTCCAACACAGGAAAAACTCTCATCTTTTCATCTGCTTGAATCTCAAAATCTAGAAAAACTTTGGAACGTTGAAGCCGGAAATTTTTTTCATATTAATTACTTCAAATCAATAAGTACATTTACGCATATTTAATTTTGTTTTCAGTAAATTAGTATACGTTTAAATAGAGAAATTTTATGTCGACATAGATTTTTTTAACAGATCTTACCTATCAAAAAAAAAAATTAAACAGATGTATAACTTTATAACCGTATTCTCCTGTGCAAAAACAGCCAAACTGGGTGTTTTGGCTTAACAAACAGCCAAACAGACGGAAACAGTCCGACTGCTTGACTGTTAAATAGCCTACAGCCGGCTGTTAAACAGCCGACTATTGGACTGTTAAACAGCCAATTAACCGATTGCAGCTGATTTTTGTTGGCCTTTTTCTTTTAATTAATAAATGAAGTTGATTAAAACCATTTCCTCATGCAGATATGATAATCCCCGTGTGTTATTTCGGTGATTTCGAATTGAATGAAAATAATCGGTGGGAATGGAGATGGACGAGTGACATACGTGGTTGTATTGCAATTCCCGTAACAGAGAGTACGCCATACTTAGAAATGTACCACGATTTGTAAAATAAGCTGAATGTCGACCAATCTCAATACAATATGCAATTGAGATATCTATTCAATGGTTATGGGGATTCATCCATTCCGATGCCACCGGTATTCGTTACTAATGATGCTAAATTGAATTATCTATTAGAATTGAATAAAATACATCGGACTCCAACTGTTCTTGGTGTGACTTTAATTACGAAGGATGTTATCGAAGGTGAACGCGAAGATTCAGATAGAGCAGATAAAAATGATCGAGGTTTTTGGGAGACAGTGGAGATAGTTCCTGCGGATGATGTGGGTATTTCTAAGACAGTTGCTTCTGATCGTGATGTCGCTGTTACGCGCAGAATTCCGTCGACAGTTGAAGACAATGAGAATATAAACGAGTTTACAAATGAGAATTTGATTGCTTTATCCCGACAGAGACACGAGCCGGGTGGGAGCTCACAGGTTGGAACAAGTGGACCGTCCTCCAATTCTTCCCGTGTGGCTCCCGATGATGAGGACTTGCAGGTCGAGCAACTGTTTGAAACCAAGAAAGATTTGCAGGAAGCTGTGCACCGGCTGACATTAAAATATAACTTTGAGTTCAAGGTAAAGAAATCAAACAAGTCATTGTTGACAGTTGCTTGCGTCGAAGACAGTTGCAATTGACGCTTGAGAGCAACTAAGATGGACACGAATGAGTGCTTCGTAATTCGCAAGTATTCATGGGAACATACTTGCGAAGTGGGAATTCTTCGAAATGATCACATGCAAGCTCGAGCATGGTTTATTGGTCGACAGATAATGCACAAGTATCAGGATCCACGGACGATCTACAGACCTTCGGACATCATTAACAACGTTCGTCGAGAGTACGGAGTGGTCATGAGCTATCAGAAAGCGTGGAATGCCAAAGAATGTGAGTTGGAGGATTTAATGGGATCGGCTGAAGAGAGCTATGATAAATTGGCTAGGTATTGCCATAACATAGGGACAACTAATCCTGGCACGGCATTTTTTATTGAGATGGGGGGCGATAATTGTTTTAAGTTTTTCTTCATGGCTCTCGGACAATGTATTCGGGGTTTTCAAAATGCAATGCGACCCGTAATTCTAGTTGATGGTACAACTCTGAAAGCTAAATATCAAGGCAAATTAATTATTGCTACATGTCAAGATGCCAACATCCAAATTTACCCTATTGCATTCGGCATAGTCGATAGCGAGAATGATCCGTCCATGCATTGGTTCTTTTCTAAATTGAGGGAAGTGATCGGGGAAAAAGACCTTGCCTTTGTAACCGATCGAGGACAGTCTATAATAAACAGTATCGCTGAAGTTTTTTCCGGGGCACATCACGGGTATTGCATGTACCATATACAAGGTAATTTGAAAACTAGATATCGGGGCACAGGTATCATTTCATTGCTCAGGAGAGCAGCCGAAGCTTACAGTACTGAAGAGTGTAATAAGTTCATGCTCGAGATATGAAGTAAATCATTACTGGCGTTGGAGTATCTGACGAAGATGGGGATCGAACATTGGGTGCGGTCATACTTTCCAGGACATCGATACAACATGATGATGTCGAATAACGTGAAGTCTCTCAATGCATTGTTTAAGAAGGATCGAGAGTTACTAATTCTCGCAATGATTGAGAACATTCGTAACAAGCTACAACAGTGGTTTCATGACCGACGTGCGGCATCACAGAGTTGTACTAGCGTGTTGACCCCAGCTCAAGAGGAGAAACTGTTTAAGGCGGCAGAGGTTGCAAGGAAGTTGAATGTGGAAGCACTAGACGAGTTTCGCTTCTCCGTGCAATGTGCACGTAATACGGCATGTATGGTGGACTTGACTGATAACACATGCACTTGTACGAGATTTCAGTTGGAGAGTTTTCCATGTGAGCATGCAGTTGCGGTGGCCATTTATCGAGGCTTTGCTGCGAGAATGTTATGCTCTTTGTATTATACGACTGAGTCTTGGAGAACAGCATATGTCAAGACTATATTTCCTCTGCCGAATGAAGCCGAGTGGGAAGTTCCCGAGCACATTCTCCCATTTCATAATTTGTTACCACCAGCAGTTGAACCGCATGGTCTTGGACGTCCAAATACATCTAGAATACCATCTACCGGAGAGTTTCCTCGACCGCGTAGGTCTGGCCGGTACGGAGCCGTAGGGCATACTCTGTAACGCCCCGAATTCTCTAGCAACCCGGAACGTTACCAAACGTGAATTGATTAATAAAGTGCTTGAGGCAAATACATTTTAATATAACGAGGAATTCAGTAAAAATTGAACAACCTTAACAAAAGGTAAATTAAATTAAATAACATATGCGGAACAATTTGGAATCATATCTTTTATCAAACATTAATAAAAGTAGTTCTAACAAATAATAAAAATAGGACTAATTGAAAGTTATGACGTGACTCACAATTGAGTCTAAATTTAAAAATAATAATAATCAACTGTTAATAAATATTCTAGTGTTTCTAAAAATTAAAGTACTTCATGATGGAGATCCATTGGTCCAATATGCATCCATCCACCGTCGTCCAGCATACTAATTTCTACCTGAAAATTGTAAATAGAGAGGGATGAGTATAACGAATTATACTCAATGAGGTGCTTGCTACTCCACATTCAAATCAAACGTGAAATTATGCATAAATTCTCTTACCAACATAACATGAGAATTATCACACCATGACAAATGATAATTCAAGCAAGCGCTGCAAATAACGTGAAGGTTAAATTGTGCCTTAAACTGTATCATGATTTCTCCCAAAAGAGCTCTGAACTGAAGTAATTAAATCCATACATAACAACGTTTTTGAAAAGATGTGGACAAACCACTAATAGCACTGAGCATCTCACCTTTTGAAGATGAACGTGGAAAGTAAAATTGCTGAAAACGTGATTCTTTATTGCAATTCCAAAGCCTTAAAAAGCCTTAATAATATGGAGAAATATTTTAAAGAGGAGGAGAGAATAAAGACGCGCAGAAGAAGAATGAGGAATTAATTACTGAATGCTTGAGGCTTAGTGCTATATTTATACTAAACCACGGTGTAGGGTAATCACGTGGGGAGTGGAATTTCACTGAAATTAGAACTCTAAATTTCGTCCAAGTACATCCCAGAAATTTGGTTTGGAAATCCTAACCTCCTGTTTGATATAATCTGACTTGGGGATTAACTTTTGATATTGGGGCCCAAACCAACTACTATAATAATGAGGAGACATTACTGGAGCATATCCTTTGCACACGTGATCATTAGGATAAGTTTAGTCTAAAATAACTAATAGTTTATGCATACTAATTAAATATTAACCATAAACTTAATTAATTAAATAGTAGACTACATAAATAATATATGGAGTTTGTTAAGAATTGAAGTCTATCATAATGGCCGGACAAAAGAAAAGATATTTAATTCCTCTAAAAATTTGATTAATTACTAAAAATTTGATTAATTAATTAGAATTCTGATAAGTGATAACTATTAACTATTGGGTTTAGATAAGTTCAAAATCAACTACAACTATAATAAGGAAAAAGACAAATAGGCATTATCCTGCATGATGTTTACCCACGTGGACTGGGAACCTCCTAATTGCATGCATAATACATTTTTATTATTCTAATAAAACAATAGATAACTAATTATCTCTTGTCTTTGATTAAATCAAAATAATTTAAAGAGTGTTTCAAATGAAATAATTTAACTAGTTTAATTAATTAAAGTCCTAACTATTCCAATATGATAATTATTAAAAGACTCTATCATAATCGAAATCCTATGTGATTGAGAATAATAGTTTTTATTCTAATCAAAGTAGATTATGATTACAAGTAACCAATAATTATTATAATAAATAAAAGCTAAAAATCGACATTTACCTACTTAATTAGCAAGGATATTCCCTTAATTATAATTTCAAAACTTAGGCACACGTGAAAATAGAATCTCCCTATTAAAGAAGTAAAAAGCTTGTAATAGTTTCCATAAAACCATGGTTATGATTTTCATTAATTATCTTTTGATTACATTTTATAATTATCAATACTCAACATATTCAAGTTTCCTAATGGCCGAAAATCTGTATGCCTATTAATTAGAATTTCATTTATATCTTGTTTCTTCTATTGATTCTATCTTAATTCAACTTATCCAAAATATCTTTTTCTAAGATATATAATTAATTATTATCTATCAAAAGAGTCCAATATTGATATAGTAATTTAGCTCGAATTAATAAATAATATTATTAACTAAATAGTTTTCTTAATTGGCTATAACTCAAGTTTAACGAATCCAAATTGAATTTTTCTTGAGTCCATAATTCGCCATTTATTACGAGCTTTAAAATGAGCTCAATATTGATAGGGTAATTCTAACTCCTTCAATAATTAACTATTTGGCCTATTTAATAAAGGTATAAAATATGAAACTTATTTTCACTTTGGTCCCTCAACTATAAAGATATTCACATAGATCCAAATTAACCATAGAGATAACTAATTAACTTGTATAAGGACTTAACTGAACATTGCAATCCTATTAAATAAATTAATGCTAAAAAAATTCGGGATTTTACATACTCGGCAATTTTGTACCAGTTAAATTTCCCTAAATGACGACTAGACAAGTACGTGAAATGAATAATATTTCTTTTTACTTTACACTGTTCAATATTTGTTATTTATAAATCTTCCATATTTAATATTTATTCTTGATAAATGGTAATATACATATGTGTACAACCCTCCCATGATTTTTTCCCGACACTCGGTGACAGTCTTATCACCCACTCGAGCATATATTCTGGCACCGTGTACTCGTTACCCATAAGTTCGAGCGACTGATACTCTATGGTAACGGCACCCAGGAACTCGGTGTTTAATATGACTCGACCATGGACATCAAATGATTTTGGATGTCTTTGAGCTCGATCTCGCAGCATGTCTATGGCCAGGTTGATATGCTGCAGCAGGAAAGACAAAAAAAGTATGAGTTATTCATTTAATAAACATAAGGTCACATATAAATAAAAAACACGAAATGAATAGTTCACTTACATCGTCAGCGAGCCAAGCTCCCGCAGTGGTGATATCGTGGAACCACTTGTAAGGGTCCGAGACCGTCCTTTGACCTATCGTGCGGCTAACTCTGTAAAAAATAGGGAAATGTTAAAATAAGCGTAAACGAGTTAGCGTACAGTGCTTTATTAAAATCATACAATACTTACCCGGGGATAATTCTCCTCCACTCTGTCTCGAACGCTTTCCACTTGGCATTGTCCACCTCTCTGAATAAGTTCGGGTACGTCCCATCGATGAACGTCCTCCTCTTGGCCTCAGCCGTGAAGGGGGAAACAACATACCATGATGACACTCTCAACCTCTTGCTGACCACCTGCTCTGTCTCGTCCACAGCATGTCTCTTATCCTCAATCACGCTGGGCGTCCTCTCGACCTCCGGGGCCACCTCCTCCGTCCCCCCATTGGGGCCTCCCCCTCGGTCGCCACCACCTCCGCCCCTCCCGTCGGGGCCTCCCCCTTCGTCGCCACCTCCTCTGCCCCTCCCGTCGGGGCCACCCCCTCTGTAGTCCCCTCTCCCATCCCCATTGGGGCCACCCCCTCTATAGACAACCACAATGACTCCAATGTCTCATTGCGCTAAAAATGTGGGTGACCCCCTCTCCATCACCATCTCTGCCACCCTCTCGATCATGATCTCCGCCATCCCCTCTGTCTTCCCATCGTCTGCCGGCTAAATCTCCTCTAAGCGCCGCTACTTTATCCTGAAGGTCGACAACGAAAGACTGTAGTATTCCAATATCATGGGATAGATCATCAACCCTCCCTGTCAACTCTCGTCCTATATCGTCGACCTTCCCTGTCAGATAGTCAACCCTCCCTGCCAGATCGTTGACCCTCCCTGTCAACTCTCGTCCCAAATCATCGACCCTCTCCGTCAAATCTCGTCGTAGTGCGCCGACCTCCTTCGCTATAAATCCAGTCAAACGGGCATACAAATCATCACTATGCCCTGGAGACACACGAGGGAGGTATCTGGACGGAGGTGATGCCAATGGCGACGGCGATGGCCCCGGCGGAGGTTATGCCACTAGCGGCGGTGATGCCCTTGACGGAGGTGATGCCAATGGCAGGGACGATACTCTCGACAGAGGTGATGCCAATGGTGGCGGTGATGCCCTCGGCGGAGGTGATCGTCGATCAACTGGACCGCCCTCCTACATAAATAAAATGAAAAATTATTCAATAAATTATTCAGTAAATTTATACGTCGATGATATTCAATAAATTATATTTCATTCACATACCCAATCTCGGTCCAAGTTCGGATCAGACATCTCCTCGTCTGGGATGTACGGAACGCCTAAATCCCACACAAGACCCCGAGCCTCCTCTTCCATCGACGGCGTCAACTCAGGTATAACTTCAAGCTGACATATTGACATTTCAACTACTTAACGATCATGTAAACAAAATTTTAAACTACGTATAATATAAATCACAAATGCATAATACTTACCTGAGGATCGTCGAGGAGGGCCGATAACTGCTTCCCAGTGGGACATCCCTCAGCTCACGATGATCTCCAATGATGCATCCGACCCCTTGGGCCTCGAGTGCGATCTGGTGAACACATGTATGGTATCTTCGTAGCATCTTCGGCCCCATGGACAGTTGTTGAACGCATCGATGTCCTCAACAACTTGCAAATGAAAAATGTCGATAGGAGTCTTCTTGTGATGACACCTCATCACACTCTCGAGAATGTAGACCAGCCCAAGCTTCAATCTATCTAGCATATGATCGCACTCCCTGATCGCAACCATCAAGTCGGGTAGAAACACCGACCCCTGTCCCTGGAAGTACGTCTTGTACAGCCTATTACTTCTCTCCATGGCTGCATCGTTGCTCGTAATCCTCAGTCCAGTGATCAATGTAAACTCAAACATCAAGAAACTGACGACCTTGCCCTCGAGGTCGAACTGGAGGGAATCGCCGTCGACTGGCCTCCGAAGCCGACATAGAAGTGAATCAATGATCTGTCCTGAGTACTGCACCTCTAGCATTTGGTGCAGTGGCCACAAGAAGGACTGTCGTAGCATATCTCCGTGCTAATCATCGAGCAGCTCCAACACAGCAGTAAAACTCTCAAAACTACTGTTCCAAATAGCTTTCTCCGGCATCCGTCTCAACTCTGCATCTAAATGATACTCCATCCTGCAAAAATTCAAATGTTATAGCATTGAACAAAAGACAACAAAAGAAAGCATAATCTCACAAAATCAAGGGAACCGAACTCTAACTACCATACAATCACAAATATTACATTTGAAAAATATATTTACAAAAAATAACAAATCAAATTAAATATATTGTCAAAAAAATTAAAGAATATAAATATTATTTAAATAAATTGAAAAAAAATCAAAGATTTTCATAAAAGAATAAAAAAAAGAACAAAACAAATTGTTAATTTCGAACAATATTATGTATTCAATTATTAAATTATATAAAAAAGGAAATTATAAAAATTAAATAATTATATAAAATAACTATTATTTGGAAAATATATTTACAAACAAAAAATTTCAAATTAAATACATTTTCGAAAAATGTAAAGACAATTTGTATTATTTAAATAAATTTGAAAAAATCAATTAAAGATTATTTCATAAAAAAAAAAAGAATCAACGTTGTTAATTTTAGAATATTTCAATTATTAAATTATATAAAAGACAAATATAAAAATTAAATAAATAATTACTTTACCTTTTTTTAAAATGTAAAGACTATTCATATTATTTAAATAAATTTGAAAAAATCAATTAAAGATTATTTCATAAAAAAAAAGAATCAACATTGTTAATTTTACAATATTTCAATTATTAAATTATATAAAAGACAAATATAAAAATTAAATAAATAATTACTTAACATTTTTTGAAAAAATGTAAAGCCTATTTGTATTATTTAAATAAATTTGAAAAAATCAATTAAAGATTATTTCATAAAAAAAAAGAATCAACATTGTTAATTTTACAATATTTCAATTATTAAATTATATAAAAGACAAATATAAAAATTAAATAAATAATTACTTTACCTTTTTTTAAAATGTAAAGACTATTCATATTATTTAAATAAATTTGAAAAAAATAAATTAAAGATAATTTCATAAAAAAAAAGAATCAAAATTATTAATTTTGCAATATTTCAATTATTATATTATATTGACAATGATAAAAATTAAATAAATAAATAACATAATTACTATTTAATCAAATAAAAAATTTAATTAATTACAAAAATTATAAAAAAATTTAAAATTAAATATATAATAGTCTGAGCCGTT